AACCATAAAGAGAAAACGTGTTTGCAATATAAGTGCATTAAAACCAGTTGTACTTATCCAAAACTCAAATGGGAAGAACCTATCTGTGTGTTTGGATTTCTGTGTTTTACTGTCTTTTGGTTCTTGTGGTTTCTGAATAACTTTTCTGTGTGAATAAGATGGATTTATGCCACTTGATGCTTAAATGGAAGTGAAAATATTTGCTTAGGAATGTTGCAGTTGTATTTGCACTGCTGGACAAAATGTAGGTTAGGAGTTGGTTTGACTTCAGGAAAAGCAGCTTCTGTTAATGTTAAGTGAGAGTCCTTTGAGCTGGCATATCTAGGAGACAGAACTGTCTTTATAAGAATATGGGAGGGCATTTTTTTTAGTGAACAAAAGTTATATAAATATATGAACTAGGTACAGGGAATGGAAAGAGACTATATTGTTTAACTTTTTTGGTTCATGGTTTGCCTAAGTATGGAAGGATACTCTTGAAATGGCATCTCAGAAATGAACTCTTAATATGCCGTGCAGTACAGTGCTTTGCATTTGTTTTTTGCAGCTCTGAACAGTTTGCTTCCACACTTCATTTTTGATACTGGAAATTATCGATTTTTAGTTGTAACACTTCAAAATATATCTTCAGCCTAGGACTACTAAGCTAGCTGGGAATAAAGGTGTTGGAGTATTAGATAGAATAGTAAATAGTGAGGCCTGGCTTGCTGTAGACTGTTATAGCAACATCTCTCTACTACCTGATGGCCAGCTCTAAAATACTCGTACATGTGGGTCAGGTAGTGGTTCTCCCCATTTACTACAGCTGTCTATTTCTGTCTCTTCCTCCATCTCCCCAAATCCACAATGCAGCCTGTTGCAGGGACAAGTCATATTCAGAAAGCTACAAGCTTGTAATCAGTGATCTTCTTTTTTGCTGCTCAAGTAACTGGTTTAGCCATAAGAACATTTATAGAGCTGGGATTAATCCCTTTGTCAGCGGCTGCAGCAGAATGCAAGTGACCGTAAGTCGAATCATCCCCCTTCCTCCTGGAAGCTGGAAAAGTCATGTGCAGATTGGGAAAGGGGGACTATGAAGAAATACGGCAAAACCTAGGCCCAAGGGCAAGAAGTATATGGCTAATTGTGTGAGTTTGTGGGGTTTTTAGAGAGCTCTGATCTCAAAAGCCTGGGAATCACAGGCCCATCTAGTGCTAACGTTTTGGGGGACTCTTTCATATACCATGAGTTTATAGAAGAAAATCTCTCAACCTAGGCACAATTGATGGCTTTTTAAATTAAAGTCAATGCCAGATTCTTTCTGTAATACAGTAGCTATACTGTGTGTTGTTTCATTTGCATGTGACGATGAACACAGGGTTTTTAAAACATGAATGTAAATATCTTAATAAAAGTTCTTGTTTCTTCTAGTAAGGTGAAAACACTATCAAATAGAAACTAAAAAAGAATAGTCTTGCTTAGCAGCAAAATGGATTGTCTGTTTTCTTTGTAGATGTTTTATAAATTAAAGCTATCTAAATGCTTCCTGAAGAAACTTATTGAAATTGAATATTAAAATATTTTCTCTTTGCAATGCAGAGTTGCTTTTCCTCAAGAAGAAGAAAAATCCTTGTTCCACACCTAATACAGCTTTAAAGATGGCAAAATTGTCAGTTGCTCTTTGGATAACTTGTTCCTTCCCAGGGCTAGCAATATTGCATAGTTTCTTATGTGAGGCCTTATGTGCAGTATTGTAACTTATTTGATGGAAAGACTTGTTAAATTTGTGCAATGTTTGTTCACACCATCACCCCTGCCCTCTTCCTGCATGACTTGTAAGAGGAAGCAATGTGTCATTGTATTCTGATGACTTCCAAAATTTCTGGTATATTCCTTTGAAAAAAAGAAGAAAAAACTCCGTGGAAGTGTTTGATATTAGCAGGAAAATAGGTGACAAGCAGTTTGGTTCTAGAAGCACTGGTGGCTGCTGTATATATTTTTTTTTCTTGAATGATAAAATATTGTATAGAAGAAAATTCCCATTGCTTTGCTTCATAAAGGAATCCCACTGAAGTAAAGAAAACTTCTTCACAAGAAGAGATCAAGAAGGTTTCGGTGTTCTTCAGATTAAACTTGTGATGACAAATCAACATTAGCATATTTCTTTTTGGGTTCTTCTAGACAGGCAAATGCTCCCAGTCAAGTAGAAACTTGTGATCAGTCTCACAACAAGTAGTTTACTATTTTGATTGAGTTGTTAGGTGCAGCCTCCAAATACTGGACATCTGCTCTTGACTTATGCAAGAAACGTGGTTTGTAGTTATGTTTTGAACAAAACCTAACTCATGCAAATAGCTCAAATGCAATGGAATTCACTGCTACTTTTGCTTTACTTGAAATAATTTTTTTGCTAGCTGACATGCAGGCTGCAGAATGAACTAAGAAAAGGTGTGCTTTGTTTCTCTTCCTTACGCTGAACGCTACATTGTTTTCTGTTTTGTCAAAAATCACAAGATGGGGAGACTTCATATTCAGTGTAACCATGCCCGCGTTTTTCCCTTACCCAGCTTTGGGAAGGCTAGAGGTTGCCTGCCTTTTGTTTCCCATCACGGTTTGTAACGCTACGTGGCGCTCTTGCTCAAATAACAGCACTTTTATTTTGCTTGCTTTCTTTAATCTGTCAGTGAGAGGTTGAGGCATGTAAAGGATGTTCAAACCAGGAAGTGTTCCTAGATGAGCTAATAAAAAAAATTTCTCAAGCTTTGTTAAGAAACTTGATCTTTAAATTCAAGCCATTTCATACAGGTAGACATTACGGAATGGGTGTTTACTTGATGTCTATGCTTAAGCTTTTGTTTGAACAGTTACGGCCTGTTTTCTTTTGTCATGTGTCTAAACTGTGCTCTATGTGGGTACACCCCTTTCCAAACAACTTAAGATGAACGGCAATCATCGAGGGAAAAAAAAAAAACCTGCAATCTTCTGCATTTCAATGCAGAAGTTAATATCTCGGTGATTTTAGACCTTCAGTGCTTACTTCAGACCTGAAGTAAGAAAGACTCCAAGTGAATAGAAGGATGGTTAAGAGGGATGATCTAGTAATTCTGAGAAATTCTTTGCTCACATCAGTCTGATTGCAGCTTCTCTAAGGGGTATGTGTGAAGGGGGCAGCTGTTGCATTCACTTACCTGAGGGAGTGGCACAGCAGAATCGGCACAGGACAAGTGCTTCAGAACGTGCTTGGTACCATCTGTTTTAGCTCATACATGAGCTAATTCAACCACTGTATAGCCTCTGCTGGTCTTCCTTGCACTGTGCAAAAGTGACTTTACATATTGCAAACCACAAAAGCTGAACATCTGTGTCACACTGAACCAGGTATCTATGATAGGCTGGACAAATGATACTGCACTAAGAGGGACTCCAGCTTTGGCTTTGTTTCAGAGAGGCTTTTGTCTTGCTGGACCCTAGAAATCGTTTGGCTTTAATGATGAATTGGAATTTTGCATAGCATCTGTACTGATGTGAGGGGAAAAAAAAAAGGTTTGCCGCCTTTTAGTTCCGTTCTTGTTGATAAGGGATGCGGGAAAGCTCTGGGCTGCAGCACTCGTGATGAACATCCCTGCTTCCCAGAAGCACACAGCTCTTGAATGCTCCATTTTGTGTCTCTGTTCCTCTAGATTAATGATGTGATATCCATGCTGCTACATAGCTAGTGTATTAGTGTGGAACAGTTCAGATTCATCTGGCACAAACAGAATAGTTTTAATGTATGTGACATCAGAACTTGCCACATGGCAAAGCAGAGATCTGCTGAGCCCAGTATTGTCTCCAGAAGCAGTAGGAATGAGTGCTTAGAGCAAGAGACGTAACAAGACTGCAGTGGTATTTTCTCTTTCCAGCGAGATCTGCTTGCTACTTGCCAAAATCTGTGCAAGGTTGTCCTAAACTAGAAACTGCAGCTGGACCATGAATTTTTGTAGTGATTGAATTTTATCTATGAAGTATGCAATGAATTATTAAAAAAAAAAATCTGTTAATGCTTTTGCCCTCCCATTTAATTAATCAGCATGAGAAAGTGCTGCTTGTTTTTGTTTTAAGCCTGCTTCTTGATGCCATTGTTTAATGGCCTGTACTTTGTTTTTACCTTCCTGCCTTTATCACAGTTCTCTAGGCCTCTGATGTCCGTCCCTGTATCTTCCCCTGTATGACTGCTGCTGTATTTAGCCATTTTGCACTTCTGATAATCTTCATTACCCTTCTCTGTTTGTCTCTTCAGAGATGGGGTTTACAAACTCTACTCAAGTTGTAAATATGAAGTGCTATGCCACGGTTGTATTTTGATTTGTTTTGCATGCCTTCCCTAGTCAGACCTAAAGCTCTCTTCATTTTCATGGCTTCTGAGCATGGAGTTGATATTTTCAGAGGACTATCTAAAATAATGGCAAGGTGTTTTGCTTCCTAGCCAAGAGGTTCACAACACCAACTTAACAGCTACTTCTCATGCTGTGTGTGGTTAGGGTTATTTCTATTTTTTTACATTACTTTTCATGTATTGGTAGTGAATTTCACCTGTAGATTTACTATGCATTCACTATTGTGAAGTCTCTTTTTAGTCCTTTGTCTCTTAAACTATGAATAATACTACGTTGGCAGCAGCATTTTTGCCCCCTTTTCCAGATCATTTAAGTTTAATAGCATGGAGTATTGGGGAAGGCAGGGGATGAGTGTCCATAGCAATCTGCCCCTGTTACAAAAACTGCTCGTGACTACTTCATATCGTTCTCCTACTTGCTCGCTTTTTGGTGTATCCTGTTAAGAACCTTTGACAAGATGTGTAAAAAAAAAAAACAACAAAAAAACAAAAAAAAAAAAAAAAAAAAAAAAAAAAAACAAAAAAAAAACCAATTAAAGGTAGCTCCCTCTGCTGCTCTCAGAACCAACAAATAATGGAAGAAACATAAGGGGAAAAAAAAACCCACCATAAAAAAACAAACAAAAAACCCATGATAAGACATAGAGAAAGTGTAATATAGTTAAATTTATTTGTTCTTATCTACTATTCCAGTCTCCAGGTAACCATCTCCCAAGTCCTAGAATTTGAGATTTTTACCCACTTCAGACTGGGAGCCACCCAGTGTTTAGAGGCTACAAGTCAGCTGATTACTACCATCGTGCCTCAGTATGAGGTAGTAGCTTCAGTTTCCTGCTTTGAAATGAGGAAGACCAGCAAAAAAGTTATGGTTGTTTTTTTGCTGGTGCATAATTTGAGTCAGCTATACTGGAATAACACAACCTGAGCTTTATCTGTTCAGTGATTCAAACTAGGCTAAGACCTAGCAAAATAAAGCTATCAAACTGATTTGAATATAAGGATGTAGTACTGTGAGGCACTTTTTCCCTGCAAGAACTATGTGCTGGAAAAATCTGACTTGTGATTTTTCTAGGTGTAATTGTACTTTATAGCTGCTTTAAGGGCCCTTGGCTCCTCCCTCATGTGGAAAGAATTAACCTGTTCCTTGGTGGGAGGCTTGGCCCTTGCTGGAGAGCTGTGCCCAGCAGTGGCTGCACCTGTAACAGACCTTCTGTTGCAGCTGCAGGACAAGACATTGGCAACTCAGTATTTCTGATGGGAGGCTTGCATTAATTTTAGCTCCCTGGCTAACTGAAGCCTGTATACTAAGCAGTATTTTTTTTTTTTTTTTGATGGACAGGCACTGCCTGTCTGGCAACCAGTTTCCTGAAAAAGCAGGGCTTTCCGAGCAAGCTGGGAGGTGAAACCTTGCTTGGGACATCAGGCTGTTCATAGTGTTAGGCACAGGATCGATCTGTGAGGTTATGGGTGGGCAGCATGTATGTGGCATGGGGAAGGGAGCAGGGTCTGAGAACGGCTATACTGTCATACATAAAATAGAAGGGTGGGAGGACTGCGGAGCTCTAGAAGGTAGCTAAATATTTAAATGCTGACTTTACTATTTTTGGTTTGTTTTGCTGTAACTTAAAAAGGAATGCTTTAAACTTTGGCCGAGGTGGTATGCTTGGAAACCAGCTTTTATATTTACACTTCTTCCCGCTCTTATCTCTTATGTTTAGTTTTTCAATAACCAATGCTTTTACCAGAAAAATGCTGGGATGGCATTTTCAATCAAAATCAAGTAGATTGGCACACTTTGAAGTGAAACAATGTCCTGTGAAGATCCGTGGAGATAGGTGTTTATCTGCTCTGTGTATATAGCAACACCGTATTCCTGATTGTGGGAACAGGTACGCGCATGTCTTCATACTTGGATATACACTGCATTTATGGTCTTAGGTAACTTTCCACTACTTTCAGCAAAATCCAGGATATGACTTTTGTGTATGTGGCAGTTGGTCAAATCTAAAAGTCTGTTAAAGTCCATTGGATTATGCAGAGGGCAAAATAACCCGGATGCATAAAACAGAGGAGCAAAACAAGCATTATGATCCAAAAAACGTTAGTTGAAGAAACTCTTCTTAGCTTTATTCTGCTTTGAGTAGCAAATTTTACTTCCATGTCATTACAGCTGTTAAATCACCTTTTTCCCCAGCTTTGCCATTCTCATCCTCAGAGCTGAAAAAAGAAAACAAAGCCATTGCATTTCAAGACTAACTTTCTATTTCTGATGCTAAATATCCTTATTTAGAAAAATGAAGAATACACGTACCTCCGGTGGTTAATCCAGCAGAATAAGCATTGTTTTAGCGTTATAAAAAGAAATCAGTATAAGGCATTAGTTCTGGTAATTTTGCAATAAAGCGAGTACATTCAGAAATTCCTCCATTATCACTATTTGAAAATTAGCACAGCTCTTTTCTAACTTTTGTTTCTGTTACCTTCACTAATGCATTGCAGACAGATGGTATTGTCCTTGACTAGATGCTGACAGATTAAAAGGATGCATGAATAATTAAACAAACTCTTTGTTAAAACTAAACTCCTCAGTGGGAACTATAACTGTTTGGAAGCCTTTTTCTTTTGTGTTGATGTTCACAGAAAACTTTCCTTTCTTCCTGGTGTAGTGAGTCAGAGTGGGATTTAGTCATATTCCTGATTTGGGTCTGACGGAGTAACAGTATCTGTATAAACATCGGTATGGCTATTGTCTGTAACTGGGTATAATGTGGGTTAGTTTGAAAGTGACAGTGCAGGGCAGATGATTAAATGTTAAAGTTATTTTTAGAACAGCAATACAATGCTGCTGTTTGATATGTAAGAGCCTCCCACCACCATGTAGTTGATCTGAGAATGCAGTGGGAATAATCTCCAGCCCTCTGACCTGTTAGTTTGAAGAGTCACCCAAAATAGCATGTCTCGTTCCTTCATCCTGTATATATCTCTGTACTGAGAGACAGGGGGTCAAAGCAGCTGTTTACTTGATTTATGCATGTCAGCAAATGTCCAACTCGAGTTATGTTTTGAATGCTGAAGTTGTTGCAAATCATAGAAGCATCTGAGTGTAACTTTATATTATAGGGCCATTGATGTTAAGCTTAGCTCTTACAAAGACCCTGCATACTGTTTGCAGACCAAGGAATTCTGAAGGATTCAAGTCCTGGTTGTGGTTTCAGAGAACAATCTGTCTGATGCTTCACTTATAGCCAACAGTCCATTTTTGTCTTGCTCTATGCGTTACAGAAACAGATGGCATGCATGAATATTTCTCTATTGAAGTTTTGTAGTACGTTACTTTCTTCAACGCAAATGGAGCTAAGTCCCCACTGTGTTTTTTGAAGGTTGCACAGCTTCCAGTGGTAAGGAAAAAAATTAGCTCATCTAGACGAGCTACCTGCCAAAAGTCTTGGACCTTCATGTCCCATGAGAGCCTGTTCCACACTGTCAGTAAGTTTTACTGCCTATTCAGCTTCAGTTTTTCCTTTCCTTATTCATTCCACTATGTCTAGCCTTTGTTCCCCCCCAAGGACTTTTAATTTCCCTAATGAGTATTGAATCTTCAAAACGTTTGCACACTAATTCATTTGACTGAAATTCAAAGAAGAAAATAAGCTCTAATAATGAGAAACACTGGTGTCCTAATTATAGCATTGTCATCCTTCTCTCTGTACGGTTTTTCTGAGGGCACATACTTTGAGATGTTGGTTCCCCACCAAGCTCATGGGGAAAGGAACATTGCTCCTATATGGAAAATGGTATATCCTACATGTCTGCCAGTTTGGGGGCATGCTGATATTTCTCTATATAGATGGGCACATGGAACAATTCCTCTGCCTCCTAGTTGGCCTTGGCCATCGCTAATTTTTTCAGTAACTTGCTCTGAAGGTTCATTTCTGCCCAAAGCAAGATTGTTATGTAAGGGACCGTCTCCCTGGTCTGTCCTGTGCTTCCTTTGCTTCCCATTCTCTTTCAGAGAGTCCTCAGCGCCTGTTTAATATTCAAATACTGCAATTGCCTCCCAAAGCTTTCATTTCAGAGAGGATTATTTTTTTTCTGTTGTATGGCTTGTTGATTTAGTAATGAATGATGAGGTACCAAAAATAATTTTGACTCCTCTCTTCTCACTGGTGGTGTTCAGCGTGAACCTGCTAGGCTGGACACCAGTGGCTGCTTTGAAAACAATTTATTTGTCTAAGAAGCAGCTCTGTGTAATGCATTGTTCTAGATTTAAGAGGCTTTCCTGGTTTTGTTTCCTTTTTAGAAGTTGCAGCAGGATTACAGGACTGCTTGGGAAAAATTGAGTCACTTCCTGGCTTTTTCCACTGATCAAAATGTCCCAGGGAGTGGCAATAAATAGGTGGAGGGATAGAAAGGAATATGGCTTAGTTCCAAATTCTGCTGGGCACTTAAGACACTCATTTGGAGGCAGTGCTGACCGTTGGGGTGTATTTTTGAGGCAGTTGCCAAACTGCTTTTAATTTAATTGGGACCAGTTTTTTCCGAATTGGCTATTTTCTCCTTGGTGGAATACTTGTAAGTAAATGGGTAAGACCAAATACAGATTAACAGAACAGATTCTCAAATGTCTTTGCTAGATTTACACTTATCCCCCTTCCCTGAAAGTCAGCGTTTGTTTTCCACTAACCTCAAAAGAGAGAGAACCCAGATTGTTCGGAGAGTGTCTATCAGTGGCAGGGAAAAATGAAGACGTTTTCAGATGCTTCTTTCAGGAGACAAAAATAAGCAAAGATTGTTACAGAGGTGCTCAGCTAACATCTCGTGGTCTGCATATGGCCCACCCGAACGGTACTGCCAGCTCATAGTTACTTCTTGGAAACCTCTTTCCCAGGATCTGTTTGGGAGCACCCATGGAGCAGGCTGTAGGATGAATGAATTGTTTCAGTAGCAACCAGCGGGTGGGTGGGTGAGTGTCACTTCTCCATTATATGCATACGTGATGGGGGAATTAAAGGACCATCCTCAAAATGCAATAGGCTGGAGCAGTTGCTGGAGTGGTTTATCTTGCCTGTACCAGCTACTTCTGCTTTTAGTTGCTGCCATAAGAGTTGCTGGCAGCAGCCTTTGGTCCTGGAGGACACAGGGAAGGGCACAGATGGCAGGATTGGTGCTTGAGAGAGGCAAAGGTCCTCTCAAGTGATAGAAAAGTACAGTGGCCTCATTGATCAGAAAGGCTGGGCAGCACTGCCGGAATATTTCAGGCTCTTGCGTGCATGACTGCATGAGGCTGATACATGAATAAACTGAGCGTGTTACTTACTGAACAGCTCTTCCCAATCAGCGCATACTGTTGCAAAAATACCTGAAACTCCTTATGTGATCCAATGACCACCCTCTCTCCTGGCTTTACCTGCATTGTAAAGAAATGCTGGGCTGCCAACGCAGCTTTAGGCAGGGCCCAAACTTACACTTTTGCTGCCAAACTGCAAAATTATTCAGAATATGGTCTGGAAGAAGAGCAGGGAGAGAACGTGGGATCAGGAGCCCTGATCTTCCTATAATTCAAGCCCAGCGTTCTTTCCTTGAAGTGGAATGTGATTGCTGTCTGAAATCTGCTGCTCTGTAAATATGCTTAAATGCAGTTTAATTGTATGCGTTCAAGTGCAATAAAATCATAAAGAAGAGCTTTCCGTGTTTCTGGAAGATCCTGCTATTGTTCTTCCAACCTCTTATTATAAAACTTTATAGTAAGAAATAGACACCTTGAGTATTAATAGAATATAAAAAGTGTTAAATAACACTATGGACTACCACATGTAGTGATGAAAACTGTCTAACTGTCTTTCAGAGGCTATAAAAATATCTAACTCGGGTTAACAAAACAATGTTAAAACTCGCGTAAACGTTGTCAAGGCAAGGTTGGCAATGCTGATTCCAGAAAAATGCAAAGTAAAGCTGGTTATTAAAGAGCCTTTCTGATTTAAGGAGCAGTTTGGATTATCTAGGAAGTAGTTAGAATGCAGATTGGCACAAAAACATTCCAGCGAGGAGACAGTGTTAAGAAGCAATGCTGTTAGTTACCTGGTAGAAATGAAAACTAATTCTGCTAATTGAGGTAGCATTAATGGAACTTTTAATTGTCACTTGAAAGAGAACACTTGTAATCTTTGAAGGTTACAGAAATGGCCTTTGTGAGATTATTTTCCAAATTTTGGTGTGGTAACTAGTGCATTGCTAAAGGTGAAATAATTCAACAGTACCAAAATGCAGATTGGCGTTTGTTAACAAACAAGAGGAAAGAAATGATTAGTAATTGCATATTAGTCCATGAAACAATCCAAACAGTAAAGTGGAACAGTTGCTAGCGGGCAAGAGTGGTATCAGTTTGCTACATGAGCGAACAGCAGTGACATGATTTTCCTTTTCTGTTACCTGTTAGTGAGGGATCTTCGGTACCGTCTCCAGATACCTGGCCATGAAGATGAGCACGGTGTGTTGGTGAGCTTAAGCGTTCCTCTTGTTCTCGCAGGGAGATGGAATTTTTGTGGGCTACCTTGTTCAGGCTCACGCCCAGACTACTCACAGGGTTCGTCTGTGGGATTTCTATGATTTTCTTGCTCGGTGGCTGATAAACCTGACTATAGTGGCCTACGGGATGATACGCTGGTTTCTCAGATTTGCTGTCATCTTCATCATCATCATCAATGATAACTAATTCTGCACGGATAACCCCATCATACCGTGACAACTTTTGGTCTGCTTCTGCATCGTCATCATCAACATGCTGATAACCCATGAAAATCATTGTTACTGGTTCCGAATCATCCACGTAACATGGTACAGCTTGGACAATGCTGTATTGAACATCTTCCTCATCTTGAGGTGCAGGGGATGTTTCATTAAGACGGCAGGGACTTAAAAACCTTGTCTCATTATGTCTTTCTCTTGTATTCTGGTAAGGTTTTAATTCCTCATGCGCAGGTTTTCTTTCGTCATTATGTATTATCCTGTTCTCAGGATTAGTGTGCACTTTCTTCTCTGAATGGGAAAGTACTGGAGAGGGAGACTTTGGCTGCATTGCCTTTGGAAGGTCAAGCCCATTCTCTTTACGTTGCTGCATGAAGGGCTCTGTTTTGGAGGAGAATTCTGTCTGATGATTGCTAAATCCATTCATCTCTCTTTTGTGAATGTCTTCCAGTTTTGGTCCAGGGACTAATTTATCTTTCTGAGGAGTAACTGGCCTGCAAAATTTGTTTGCAAACACAGGCTCATGATACTCCGTGGGAGACTGGGAATTTTTTTCAGTTGCCTGCCGTAGCAGGTCCTCCACCTCAACAGGAGCAAGTTCATCCATCCCATTTTGTGTTGTGCTGCCATTTGAGGACACTGCATAGACTGACTTCCTGCCATCGTCATAGACTTTAATTCCTGTCTCTTTAAACTCCTTTGAGGGAAGAGGTATTGTTGATAACACTGTGTTTTCTCCTGTCTTCATGTCTTTTTCAACTTTAATTTCCATGGCAAACAATGCTGTTGAAAGAAACAAGTGCTTAAACTGATAATGCAGTAGCTGCAAGAAATATTATAGAAGAATTCTGACAGTTATAGAGAATGACTGTCAGGATGAATTATCAAATACGTGCGATTATCACATACATAACCAATAAATTGGATTCTCATTTTGAATGCCCCTTCCATCCTGTAAAAACTTGAAGTGGAAAAAAATATTTTTGTTTGCATCTAGTTCTGTGAGGGAAAAATAAACTGTTGAGGAGCCAGTTTTCATTACATGATTGACTGAGAAAGCCAGATTTAACCTTGGCCCTTGGTGTTGTGCTGGGCAGCAGCAGTTGAAAGAGCTCAATGTGCTATGAGAATAAAGAGTCTTGGGCGCTTGGAAGGGTTAGGAGCCTTTGTAGTAGCTGGGAAATAACCAGATTACTGCTGGCTGCGCAGTAGTTGTAAATGCTGATAGAAAATGTGAAATGTATGATATGAAAGGAGGAACTACATAAAGTTACACTGGGTAGAGGAACGAAGTGCTGGGAAGAAGTGTCAATGTTGAAAACACTTGATCCTTATTCTCAATGGCACATACCTTACACCAGTGTCCCACCTCTCAGTTTTGATGACCTCACTTTATAATGTAACGCAGCTTAAATGAGAACAACATTGTCCCATATCTGTAATGTTTATCCTTCCCTGCAGGTGTATTAGATTCAATTTGTAGGAAGTCTTTGCACATACGGACACCCTTTGGAGTTACTAACAAGCAGTACCTTTTCTCTTTTCTTCATCATCGGTGGCAGCATGTGCTGCGCTTTTCAGTGCGGAAGGCCTGAAATACTTGGGAAGGTCAGGTATGCTGGTGTATATGTAGTCTGCTGCCTCTGAATAAAGATCCACAAAGCATTTAGTATGTTTTCACTGACTTCCATGAGAACCTTTTTAAAAATATTTTTTTGACTAAACATACCTTTTTCAACTCCTGCTTTTTCAGTCTTCACAGACTAGGAAAGAGAACCATTAACAACAAACGTGATTAGTCAGTTTTAAGATGTTAGCTAGACAGTGCTTTGCTTTACCTGATAGTTTTAACTTTTTGTGTGCACGGCGTCATACTGAGAAGGGGCTAAAAGTGGAACCTGCTCAGTTGAAGCATGGCAAGGGAGAAAGTGAAATTTTTCTGGTCTTTTTTGCCAATACGATTCCAAGTCACACAGGGAAAGACAGGACGTTACAAAGGGTTAATCAGTGAGACAACCTCACACTGTGGCCCAAGCTGGTTGGCTTCAAAGATTTTTCAAAGGTTCTACTTTGGCTTTCCAGTTGTGCTTATGTCCCTGCAGATCTTTAGAGAGAGAGTGTGTGTGTAAAAACAACCGGAGAACTGAAGTTTAGCTTCATCACTATATTTTTGAGATGGTTTAAGATGATTTTCCAATATCAAAATGACCTTTTGACCAAGACTAATGACTGATAATATTAAGTCATGTTTCACTATAAACTCTTTCAGGGGCTTGGGGGAAAGCATGATGCAGCTTAGCTGGGCACATCACCTGAAGGAGTATGAATATGTCAGTGCCTGTACCCACTCTGTACCCGGTATGTCTGCCTCGGGCTGAGATGCAAAGTTGCTGGTTGGTGTCAGTGGCAGTGCTATTCTTTTTGAGATGTGCTACAGATAAGTAACGATAGGAATTGCTCCCCCACCCCCGTAAACAAGCAAATGGAGACATTTGGGCACTTGAACAGTATAACATCTTGACCCTCTTATATTTGAACTACTGTCACTTTAGATAAAAGCTCATGACCGCTCACAGGATCCAGCTAGTTCCCCTTTCCCTGGTTATTACAATGAAGGAGTAATGAATTCTATTGCTGCAGTAATTTGGCACTAACCTTTATTATGTCTTCTGTTGTTTTCTCAACAGACTTAAGTTTCTTTAAAATTGCTTCTTCCTTAGCTGAGACTTCCATTTCCTCTCTTTCCAGAGCCTCAATTTCCTTCTCCAGTCTGCAATCACAATTCCCTTTGATTTAATACCAGGCAGAGAACAACACTGCAGATTCAATACACTGTGAATATGGACATTAGTGGGGCTGCTTCTACTTACCCTGACAAATTTTGCTCTAATATGAGATCGTCTTATAATTTCACATGCATCAGGAAATAGTATTCTAATTTATTTTTTTTAAATGTACCTGCCATAGGTTCCTTCAGAGCCTACTTTGAAAACAGTGGCTGAAATTAACTTATTTTTCAGGAGGGAATAGATAAGGAATATAGGGCCCCACAGCATTTCCTCATCTCTAAGCAAATTTTCTCTCCTACATTGTCTCAAGAAATGTGATTCCTACATCTTAATTACAAGGGAGTAATCTAGTATACAGACAGCAGGGTTATGACTTTGTTTGTCTCTTAATTTTGTATGTGTACACATGATGAAAAGCAGCAAATTCTTTTGTTGTAAGAAAGTCGGAAGAATGTTCTTGTAACTGGTAGTACTTAAAGGGCTAGAGTACATCACCTCATGTGCTTTATCTTAATAGATGTAGCCAAACCGTATTCAGGAGGATGCCCCGTGGAGGAAAGTTCTAGTCAATCCATAACTAGAAGCTACAGTTCCAGAAGAACCACCTCTATCAATAGAAATCAAATTGCATTTGTATTTCTGAGGGGTAGAACAGGTATCGCTTTTTGATAAAATAGCAACGGCATTTGCAAGTACTGTTTGTAGATAAAACAGCTCTTAACTAACTTTCTAATATGAAAATTAGTACAGCTAAAAATCATAATAGTGATGTGCTTTGCAGGCTACTTTTATGAAGTGATAACTTCATAATTGTGTGGATTTTTGAAAAGTGAGCAACTTGCATAGCGGGAGGATGCTCAAGAGACTAAAGTCTGAAGCTTTGTTGTTTTCCAGTCTGTCTGGGATTGAGAATGAAGAATTTACAAACGCCCGGGATGATGAAGGGGCTTTCTGAGGGGGGTGTGTGTGTGTGTGTTCAGCTCCAAGATGCCAAGACAGTTCTCCATGGTTTTGCATGTTGAACATGGGTTCTGGGATTTAAAAGTTCTTTGCTTTGGTAAAGCAGGTGTAACAGTGCTTGACTGACAGCCCGAAGCTTGATTCTTCAGGGGAAAAAAATCTTGATTAAAAATGCGAGATGTTGCTGATGTGGGGTGGGTGTTATTGTAGTGCTCCTGATGGACTAGACCAGAGCTTGTGTAGCTACAGACTTAAAAATACGAGTAAGTTTTAAGGGCTCCTCTCTGGGGCTGTGTACTAAGGCTTTCATAGACATACATGTGTCCTTTGTAGTCACTCATCGGCATTTTGTGTACTTAATTCTCTGGGAAAAGTGCTGAAATCTTGATTCTGGAAAGCATTCCTTTTCAGCAGAACAGCAGTCATGTAAGACACACTGGTTCAATGCACCTAGGACAAGCAGCTGGGAAGGTTAATGTTTGCAGTGTTTGCTCAAGTAATACCCTCACAAGTATTACCAATGAATTTGCAAGAGAAAACTGGGCAGTTCGCATAGGTGTGATACATGCTGCATCAGGTTCTAACAGCAGTCACTTTCTAAGATTGCAACTGGATGAGATTTCCAACATTAAGAAACAATTTTTAAGTGTCTCTTTATTAGAGGAGGATCCTTGATTGTACCCAGCTCTAGTCAGTGAGAGCTTTGTTTTACAAAGCCGACAAGCCTACCTCTTATGAATACCAAATATACTAACTTTATATTCTCTAAGACAGCAGGATATTCAGCAATTGCCTTATCTCTGTCAGATTTTAGCAGTGCAAACCAGAATTATCTTGCCATTTAAGACTTGGCTGATGGGCTATTTTCTTAAAAAACCTTTATTGTTATGTAAAAGGGAGATTGAAGCTCAGCAGTCAAAATTTCTTTTGGGCTATTGACTTCTGCTGTAGGTTTGTACATTATTTAAAAGGGGTCACAGCTTCCTTTCCCTCCCCTTTTTGTTTTATGTTAAATCTGTGTTATATGGTTTCTTGCATGTTAAAGCTGAGTACAATGTTTAAGGCATCTTTTTCCTAATTAGAGTTTTTATTTTCTTAGCACTAAGATGTTTGATGAAACACTTCGAGACTGAAAGGTCCAGAATAAAATATCTAATCTCTATGTATGTGAGAGAGGGAGAAAGCTATGCCTGGTTAAATCACACCTCTAAGGTAAAGTACCTCAGTCAAATTCTTTTCTCTGGTGACTAAGGCAGTGATTTAAGCAGGTGTCCCATATCCTAATTTTTTTCCTCTTTCTAGTTAAGACTGTTCCTTTCTGCAAAAGCACATATTTGTTGGGTTTTAGATAGAAATTTGCCTTATTAGCCTAATAGTTGGGAAGTCACTTTTCCATGAAGATCTAGAATCAAGCCCAGATTTAACTCTGAACTGGGACTTGAACTGGATGTCTCATGCTGTAGGTGAGCGCCATATAGCTTCAGTCTCCTTGTTCATCTACCTTTTTTTGGTAGATTTGGTAGATTTTTGGAAGAACTTCTTCTAACTTAGAGGAAAAGGCAAAAGCAAATTTCAAAACCTTCCATATTTGAGTGAAATATGTCTTCCATTGTTTTTGACTCCATGTCAGAAATTGGTGACTGTAGACTTAAGGCAACTGATATCACTAGTTGCTGAGATCAGTCAGAGTTACAACTAGAGGATCTGGGCCTAAGTTACAAATGGAGTAATGACAACCTACAACCCTGATAGAAAAAAAATTTATGTTTTGACTTATTCTACAGTATGTGCTAGGAGCCACGATATTACACAAAGTCAGCATTATAATAGAAACCTCTCCTCCCTTTAAAGTAAGCAGTCCAGAGAAGCTGAATGCAGACTGGCAGAGAAGCATTATTTATCTCCTTCTATGTGACTGCTTGAGGAGTCTGAATAACACTGTGGCTCTCGCCCTATTTAAACTCAGATTTGTAGAGCTACAATAATAGGATACCACGTGGACTTTTATCTGTTAGTGAGACTATCCTCTTTTTTGAAATGCAAAGCTATCACAGACCTCAGAACTGAGATGTGAAGCAAAATGCATTCAGGATGAAAGTAAAAGCTAAAAAAAAAACTTAAAAGCAGCTAACACTTTGGACCTGAGCTCTGCAAGATGCCCTTAGGACCCTGCTCAAAGGTACTGATTATAGTGCTAAAATTTAAAAATTTTATAATGAGGGAGATGAATATTCTTGGAGGGCTATAAAAGAAACTAATGCAATGACCATGTGCCGTATTTCTGCACTTCTTACAGCACAGTATTTGTTTAATATATTGAAATGTTGTATTTTTATGAGACTTGATTGTAATATTATCACAATGCAAAAATTAATCATTAAAAGCTCACAGGAGCATAATGAACTGAAGAATCATTAACCTTTGCTATGGGTTTATTTCAGTCTGGACTCTAAACACTCCTAGACACACAGGTAGAAGAGGAGGAAGAAAAATTCTGGAAAGGTATTAAAAAAGAAAAAGGGGGGGGGGGGAGAGAAAAAGAAAACACAACCCCAAATAAATCAAAGATGATAAACCCCATACAGTTATCTGGGAGATCAAGAAAAGTATTACTTAAGTTTATATATATATATGCTCTCACACCCATACCAACACCCACTTCATATGGTAATTTAGAGGACTGATTCAGTGCTCAGTGGGGTTAGGGAAAAATTCTCATACCCATGTAATGGGAATTGCATCTAGACCTTAAGTATGTCTTTTGCGCTCAAAATTGCATATAGACAGATTTAATGATTTATTTTCAGAGGATGTTGTGAGTGTGCACGCTGGAGTTTGTTGAAAGGAAACTTTTAAAAGATGCAATCTGTATAGTTCAAAGAAATCTTAGTCCTTTTGACTTCGTGCAGTTGAAAAGTTAGGCCAGAGTCTTTCTGGTGTGTTTAAATCTTTAGAAACTTCTAAATCAATGAAATCTTTATGAAGTTACATCACAGTTTGTATTTGTCTTGAAAGGGTCTAGCAGCTACGCTAGCAATTATAAGAAACTATCTTTTGACGGTGCTGCTGTGTTTTGTAGAGAAATGGAAGTATGACATAGCAACCATATTAAATCAATCCCTTGGATATTTGTCCTTCTCTCCTCGAGTAGCATTCATTATTTGAGAGGGGAAAATAAGTAATATGGAGGTGTGGATGAAAGAAGGAACCTTAGAAGCCAAGATACTAAATTGGAGGTTTCTCTGCCATAGTAGCAGCTGAATTAAGAAATTCTACAGAGTATACCTGACTGCTGCTGGCCACCAGCTAATTTGCTGGGGCTGGCACCACTGCCACGACAGAAGAAAAATAAACAGCTTAAGAATGGAAAGCAGATAGAAGGATACCACCCTGGAGAATACCGGACTGAGAGGAAAAGGCAGTTTAGCAAGTCCTCACATGTTTTGAGGCGAGTCAAAGGCTTTAGCAGCTCTGGAGTCCATGTAGGCTTAGCCTGCCTTCATGTATCACATTACAAACCACTGAATAGACCTTAGTTAACTGTGATGTTGTTTGTGCATTTTTAAGTACGTTGTTTAGCAACTAATTCCATCAAGAATGAGTACTATTTGCTGAAAATTAAATGAGAAAATGGGACTCCTAATTCTTAATTCAGCTTGTACCCTGACCAAGGACATGCTCACTTGGCTCACTGTAACTTCTAACATGTAAAGAGGGTGAATAGGACAGATAATGTAAATGTTGTTTTTGTCTGTAACCAGAGCGTTCAGCCGTTTGGCTGCAAGGTGGTTCGGGCCACTCGCTATTCGCCGTTTTGTTGTTGATACAAAGAATGGAACTCTTCCTTTTATCAAAAAATGCTCAAATCCAAACTGATTAGCAGACATACACTAGCTCTATTCGACACCTGAGTGAAGAATGTTTCAAAACAGAAGTCCCAATTAGAAGGGTGATGGAAAGGCTCATGCCACTGCTGGAAATAATCTGCCTACAATTGCAATTGTCCTCTCAGCAGAAAGAAACAAAGACTGGTCTAAGGGTATTCAAAAAGTCTTTAAAGTGATTCAGATTTTTTAACTGATGATAAAACCCATGCAGAATAAATCATCAGAGTGGACAGAATCTATGTGAATCAAGTGAAGTTTAATAATCAGATGCCCAGAAGAAAGAATTCTACTGAGTTTCTCAATAATATATCTTACTGCTACTGCATGACGTGTCTACATGATCAGTTTAGCAATCTTTGATTTACAGGGCAGGTCAAAGGTATGACTTCACATATATGCAGTCAAGCAAGCTTTTGTTAGCTTGGGTGCTATCTATGGCATAGCAAAAGCACTGTGCAGGTACTGTAGGGTGCATATTTTGTGCTTTTTAGTGGATTTTGTTCACACTGAACTCTGTATTACTAGGTTTCTGTATCGCTGCTGGCTGGTTTGAAACTGGGCTGGGTATGTCTAAACAAAATGTAATGATATCTAGAAGGCAGCATGGATGTTTTTCTAAGGGCCTTTGCTAGACAGCTATTGAGGAGTGGTAGGAAGTATAACTTATAGCAAAAGATGCTTGATGTGAATAAACCTGCTTAAATTCCTAGTTCAGAGGGAAGTTCCCACATGACTTCAGGTATGTTCTGCCTCCATTCTCCGTCTGTAAAATCAAATGTCCTTGTCTGAGTCACCTGTGTATCATGAAGATAAAAGCTGCCAAAGACTCTAAGGTGTGTAGATTGTTTGGTTATGAGAGTAAGTATATCAGTAATGAAAATATTGCTTTTGATATCAAGGCCTTACAAACCTCTAAACTGTCTTTAGAACTTCAGGAATGGTGAATTAAGTCGTCTTAATTCAGGGTGCCTCAGGAATGTAATTAGGAGCATTTCTGTAATGATTTTCACTTCTAGAATGCATTATAGCTGTGAAGTTGTTATCGTGAGAATGAAGGCAGCGTGTCGTTTTGTGTTATACTTTCTTTGTCAGTTAATCTTTTCATTTTATGCTCATGTAATTTGTCTGATTCCTTTCACTACAAATAAATCTGAAGTATTTCAGATGTACGTCAAGAAGTAGGAATCATTTTAAGGAGGAAGCAATTTGGTGGAGCTTCATTGACGGTTGGACTCGATGGTCTTAGAGGTCTTTTCCAACCTTAATGATTCTATGATTCACAGGAGAAGGTCACAGGCAGGAAAAGTTAATTGGTAACACTGGTATTAACAGCAAATGGCTGTGGGAATACTTAGTTCACCATGAAAAGAATAAATTGCTATGAAAGAGCAGCTAATATAAAAATAAAAAAGGAACCATTCACAGATTCCGTTAAGCAAGTGTAGTAGAACAAATAGACTTATATTCTTGGAGAAAGAATAATATTTTTAATAAGAGGAGAAAAGCCATCAACTACAATCAAATGTTTATTGCAGTTTTTTCCACTGTAGTGCTTACAGTTGCAAGTAAACTTACTTCATTTCATTTTCATCAGCATTTAAATTGCTGGTTTACGGTCAGAATATCAGCCATCTAGATGTACAAACATTACTTGTGCTTGTAATTAACTGAATCTGGAACTATGTAGGAAAAGAATTTGTACCTAATACATTTCTCCTAAATGCAGGCATATAAATAGAAACTATTGAAAAACAAACAAACAAAAAGCAAAAAAAACCCCCAAACCAAAACCAACACCACAAAATAAACCTATCATCCCTGCATCCCACCTACATGGGAAAGGAATTCTAAAATGGATTTTCTTGTACGTGCTGAACGTTAACTAAGTCTCTGGCAAAAATTCTAGTCGGAAGGTAACAGGCACATTTCTGTAGTTAGGCTGTTACAGGCTCAGGCACAGATCAAGTGTACGAGCTGAGGAACCTCCTCCTTGTTTGGTATAATATGTGTGCTTTTGGTTACGTGATGCAGTACTAAATGTGCAGTCTTCCCATTCACAGTGTATCTGCATCTAGTCCTTGTAATTATCAAAAAATAAAGACGGGCTGAGATGTTACTCCAGGATCCCTGTTATGATTTAAGAAAGCAATCGGGGACAAATGATGTGTTTGGCACTTTCATTTCTCCTTCCTTAAAGCACAAATGCACTTAGAAATCTTCCTTTAAATGCCTATGGGCATTTTTTAGAAGACCTGGAAGCTTCTAATTCAGAGATAAAGTTTAAAATTTATAACTCCTTGTCAACTTTTGGATCCAATCTAGAATTAAAGCAGAGGGAATATCCCTCTGTAATGCTAATTTACCTACATGAATTAAAGGAGTTTTTCAGGTCTGAAGCTCCAGTTGGATTACTGTTCTACTATTTGTAATAGCGATAAATTCTAGTCATGCTAAAAAAAAAAGTTTATATGGCTGTATTCAGAGAAGTAAAGCTCACTTTGTGTGAGCTCACTATGTCTGTTCACTTTTGGTCTCTGAGGAAATAAAAATTAAGGCCACTGAGCTGATGACAAGTTCAGGATAATAATTACAAAAACAGTATCAAAAGACTTTACAACTGTAGTTACATACCCCAGGATTCTGTGAGACATGGAAGTGACATTATGTATGTGAATAATCAGCCCTATTTGCTGAAATCTCTGAACTAGTGTTGTAGGAAGGCTTCTGAGTCCTAATCCTGCATTCCAAGTCTTCCCAGGGATAGGACAGGAGGGACCTACTGCCAGTGTTGCTGTGAGATAGCTCAATTACAATGACTCAGGTGCAGAGAACCCTAAATGTATGTTATGAGATGACAGACTAGATTTAGACACTGGAGATACAGTACACTTCCTGCTAAAATATTTCACTGTTCTTAAAGCCGTTAGTATGTCAGGAGTTCAGTAGCTTTCCTTTTTAGTGGCATAGACATTCAGAGACCTCCACTATAATAGCATTGCTTGTTCTTTACTTGGGTGTCATCAAATGAATTGGAAACAGTGTAGATGTAGGTTATGTCAGGAGAATAAAAGCATCCTTCCCCCAACATAGCCACACACCAAATCCAGTTCTTGACTTTGTTCTGAGACTTAAAAAAAAAAAAAAAAAAAATAGTTTTAAAGTTCTCCCATCACCAAATTTCTTAGAGCATAAAGGAGATCTCGGCTAAACCTCCAGCTCTTACTCAAAGTCAACTTTGAAAATCTAGTCTATCCTCCCAGTGCTTGGAGAATGGCTGAACTTCCAATGGGCTGGTGGGGAGCTACATGCTCAGTGCAACTTCCCTGTTGGTCCTGAACCAGGCTTCCCCACCCAGTCTCTTTCCTGGTGATCACGCTGTCGTAGGGACCCCTCTTGCATGTCTTTATAATCACAACCTGCTGGGATGTTTTTAGAGCACACTGTCTACCTCCTACCACTGCAACAAAGAATTCCACAGAGGTGCGTGAAAAGCTGTTCTGTTGAGAAAAGTGCTTTCAAGCAAAAAGCCACCGTAATTATAGGACAAACCAGCACTAGGCTGCTGCCTGTCAGCCAAGAGAATTATCGTTTGTGTCAGAGAGATGGAGTAAGGAGGGAAGTGGGTGGGAGATAACCGGAGGAGGTAATCTGGGTGACAACTTTGCCAAAAGAGTGTATGTAGGAGGACAGAGGAGGAAGAGGAGAGTATGGAGGAAGATGCTTTTGAACGGAAATAAAGGAAGAAGCCTCAAAAAAGGATGATGAAATTTTCCAGAATCTAAAAAACCAGGAATACTTCATCTTTTCTGTGGGTGCTAATGGGTAGTACCAGTCAGTATGCCTGGACCCAGGGAAGGAGCTGATTGAGTACAGAGCCCTGTGGTATGTGGGAAAGGCTAACTGCAGCTAATAAGCACCTAGAATCATGTCCATAGTAAATAAAGGAGTCGTACGTGAGACTGTCTATGCAGTTTGATGTTAGCCGTATGTGGTAGGGAGGCACTAGGCAATGAGACTTGTAGGAACATTTCTAATGGAAGGTAGAAAAAGGCCTTTGCTATAACAGGCTTCTGGGAATAAACTGAGGAAAAAACAGCATGGAAGATAAGTGAAAACGAAGCAAGTGATACTAATGGGTCTAGGCAGCTTGTACTGTTCTAAAGTGCTGTGTTATGGTAGAAGTCAGGTATTAAAGGCTGCGCAAGGACCTAGTGAAGCTGAAGAACTTTTAAAACGATTTACTGTTATTTCAAAATTCTGATTCAACAATTGCTATCTCAGAGTACAACCCATATACTGTGGCTTACACCTATTGAGTATAGCATGAAAGGGGTGTCTGGCATTAGAGAAACAAATATTCTGCAAGATATTTATTGTGCAGTCTGATAAAATTCACAGTATGGAAGCTTGCGTTGTGTATTCTCTAATTCTAGCTGACCAGAAAACATCACAGATTGCTTTACTCTGTGTATCAAACTGCATATGTTTACCCCTTGCTGAAATTTTAATCTTTTACGAAATAAGGTAGCACTTTTAAGAAGGGACCATTTTAACCCAGACAGAAGGGCAGGGGTACTACCCTACCTGAAAATGTCTTGTTCCAGCTCATGAGTCCGTTGTTGGTCTTCCCGATTCTGCTTTTGCATTTCTTCTTGCTCTTTTGGAGTGAGAGAGCTAAGGCCATCCAAGAGCCATTTTTCTCGCAAGGCCTTTTTCTGATGGGGAAAAATACAGGCAAGTAAGTGTACTTTAAAAGTTAGGCTATTCAATCACTTATGATATTTGTCTTGATGCCATAGGCGTGATCCGCGTTCTTGTGCTGTATCTAGCATAAGGAAACCTGACAGCGGTGAGTGCCACTGAAAGAAATACTAAAAAACATTTGTGTTTTGAGATTGTTCTTAATGAGTTTGGTTTTAAGTCAATGTCCCATTTTATTAGTCCACCCAACAAATAGGTAGAGGATTTCAGCTGCTACCTGTAACAGATTAATATTTATAAGTGGATCTGGTGGTGGTTTGTCTTCAATAAAGCAAAACAGTTGTATCAAAGTGTACATATTACAGACTAGGGCAAAAGGCCCTAGTCAGAAGTGCTATAGTTTTATTTCAATAGCCCTGATTTCTGGGGTCATGGCATTGCATAAATTCTGGGAGGGGGTATAAAAGGCGAAATGGTTCTGTAAATAAGGTGGTACAGGGGAAGAGATCTCTAGGGAGTTAGTGATGCAATGCTATCTCTGGAGTTTACAAGGAACTTGGGTAATTATGGTAGTGAACTCGCATTTCATCTGGTGAGGATGTGTGGGGTAAGAGTGGGACTGAAGAGGTGGAGCATGGGTTGCTGATGTCTGGTTAGTGTTTCAGCAGACCTGCTACATGTTCAGAACTTCTGTTGTAGGGGCAATCCAGGGCTTATGTATTTAGGTCCTGACCTGTTTAGTGCCTGTGGAGTTCTTTCTGTACAGCAGTGGCTTTATAAATGGGTGTATTGCATGTGTACAGGTGAATGGATCTCTCAGCTGTGTTTTCAAGTTTGAAAAATATGGCTGTACGCACTGATTGCTTCCTATAGCTGCTTTACAATATGAAAGGTGTCATCTGAAAGTCATCAGAGCTCTGTGAAATATTCCTGGTGGGGGAAAAAAATAATTCATGGAGATAAGTTCATATTTGCAGGCAAGAGGTTGTAAACCATGCAAACTTTCTTGCGCTCTTTTTACTCCCTTCAGTCTAACTCAGGAATATAAAACCTGTTGCTGCCTTGTGGAAGAAGTGGGATTCAGGACTCCTTAGGAAAACGTTTTCAACAGGGGAAAAAAAGCATGCATATAAGGTTTTTAATTAACCATGTATTTTCAATTTGTAATTTAGATTCCTTGAGCTGTCTGATTTCCATATTAGGTTTTTTGGTTTTTCCCTATATAGTTTCATGAATTGTAGGATGTGGATGAAGATTAAATTGGATTTTGACTACTGCTGCTTTGAGGCAGAGCTGTGCCCAGCACTGGTGAGAAGGTGCATTAACCTCAGTGCTGCTTGCAGTGGCTGTTGGAATCCCTGCCTGCATCCTGCATGTTGAGTCACTTAAACTGTTGCTTCCTACACTTTTCTGTTTACTGTATACTTTACATGAGGTTATTACTGAGGCCCAACTGATGGAGGAGGGTGCATGTAGGACCTGATCGCAGTTAAATGCAATTTTCCACTTGCTTGAAGTGTGACATACGTGATGTGATAGCAACTGTGATTAAAACAGGCTTGTTGGGAATTCTGTGGCACTCCACAGTACGGTGGTTTTTTTTGTTTTTTTGTTTTTTTTTTTTTGTGGAACATAGGAGCAGTGTTTACAGTTGCCTTAGCCCTGCGGGACAGTATTCTCTTTCAACACTGTATCCTAGGAAATCTGTGGGAAACAAGGGCTGCTCAAGACTGGTGTCCTGAGCCTTGACTCCTGATGTAGGATCACTTGGCAGCACTTCCTTGCAGTTGTGTCTTAGGCTCAAATGAAATAAATGCAGATTTTAATAGAATGGCTTTACCTGAACTGGTAGATGCATGTAGTCTGGTGTTGGCACAACTCTTATTGACCACAAAATACTGTTTTTTCAAGTTGGAGGGAACACAGTTATTAATTCCCTTTCAATCAAGCTGTTCAGATTTTAGTGATAAGTAGGGCTCCTAGAAAAGTGACATTTTAACCCTGGCTGGAACTGAATTAGTCTAGTACTGCTGTCTCCAAAAATAAATCTATAACTCCTTGTGAGAATTACAGTGGGGCTGCTGCTGTAGACCTCAGAAACTGATAACACCCATTGAAACCAACAAAAGCTTCACGTACATATAGGGTTAGGCCCAAGAAAACAGACTCCCTAAATACAGGCATAACACAATAGTGTTATTTTCGCCTTTTCCTAGAATAGTTTGCTGTTGCTCCCAACTAAATGCCATGTAATCTTTTTAATTTAATTAGCCACTTTTGAAAGAATGACGTATTGCGTAGTTTGGAAACAGCCTTTGAACAACAAACTGTTTCAAGGCGGCTCCACTGAGGCATCGGTACAAGCCCGTGCAGCAGCAGCTGCTTTGGGGCGGTTGGGTTCTTTCTGCTGTCTAGCATTTTCTTCTGCTGCAAAGCACCTCTAGCTCAGTACTAGGTTGTGCGTGCGTTATAGCACTTACATGAAAGCACTTTAATTTTGCATTAGGCTTGGTATGTTAAGGGAAAGGAATATTTATACATTGTGATGTGGTAAGACCCTGGGAATGGACAGAGTGCTGGAAAGCAATCACTTTCTTTTGTGAGTTTGCGGTCACATCAGGAGTACTGTGACAATATTCTGCAAAATCTGTGAATAAATGTCCTACGTGTTCTCCAAGTATAACTCCACTGTAATATCCTTAACAAGGCTGGACTAACACTGAAAGATTCACCCTTCCCTGGGAGATCACAGGTGTTTTGAATTTGTGGATCTTGCTTTCCCGGTGGTATGGCAGTTCACCTTATGGGATGTTGGGGGAGGCATAAACCATTTTCGCAGTTTTCATAGAAGATGTAGTTCAACGCTGTTAACTCCTGGAATAAGAAGGTGTGTGACCAGCACCTACAAGGCAGCACTAATGGAGTTCAGGCATGTCAGAAACCAAAATCTTAATAAGCTAAACTAGAAAAGCTCTTGGAAAGTACATGCAAATCAGTGCTGACTGACTACGCTTTTTAAGCAACTCTGGTCCTTTCCCTTGTTGCCTCAGTGAGAAGGATTCCAGGCAGGAGGAAGAATTAGTTGCTGGTGCATGTAGAATTACTTGAGGATGAAATTTTCCTTGTACCCTCACTAGCGGCCCCCGTTACCCCTTGCAGTTCCATGAAGCCCTATCCACACAGGTGTCTGTATTTGCTCGCATGTCCTCTACTTCATGTGGTAGAGGTG